CATTATAAGTTGAACTACGAGAAGGTCTCCCGGGAGATCCACTGGATATTTATATTTGGGACTACAGGACGGTATCCTGGGAGATCCCCAGTTGTTATCCTTGTACTGAGCTATATTTCCTTCCGTGTTTACTTGGCCCCTATGGTAGTTGTTGTTGTCCTTTATATCCTGTGTTGCTTTTATTGTTGTACTTATTTATACTGGTTTGTTCTATAATGTTAAATCTTATATTTTAGTTAACCTCAGTAGGGCCCTGACCTTCCTCATCACTACCCGATCGAGGTTAGGCTTGGCACTTACTGAGTACCGCTGTGGTGTACTCATGCCCTTTATGCACATGTTTTTCATGTGCAGATCCAGGTACTTCCACTCAGTCTTATCATCCTTGAGGTGAGGCGCTTCTATAGTGACTTCGAGGTATATCTACTGTGTCCACAGACCGAGGAGTCCCTTTCTGTAATAGTATAGCCTTCTGTATTTTCCTATTGTTAGACATTTCTGGAGTTAGAGCTTCTTATGTATCCCTTAGCTTGTGATTCATGGGGTTCCGAATTTTAGGAAGTATTAGGTTGATATTCTTGTACTGTTATGTGTCAGGCTGCATCTTAAACGCTATTTTAGTTGTTATTTCGGTTTTGTAATTTTTTCTTCCGCAATTGTTGTTTATATTCCGCATTGTTAGGCTTACCTAGTCGTAGAGACTAGTTACCGTCATGATGGTTCACGGAGGGCGAACCAGGGTCGTGACAACTTCGGTATGCTGCTGAATGGCTCAGAAGGAACAGATCACCGTAAGATCTCGATCAGGAATCAGGAACGCGTGCCGGACGGATAACTAGATGCACCTACCTCAAATCCTGTACAGTTAAGTACAGAAGCATAGTATGAGTACATAAACAACATGTACCCAACAAGTATCCAGTTTAACCTCGAAGAAGTAGAAACGAGGGTTCGACTTGACACTCACTAAGGTCAATATCAATAATATCTAAGGTTTACACTAAGTATGGATAGCATGGATATTGTAAGAGTCTCAGAACAAGGAGAAACAAAATATCAATTTCAGTCATATCATATAATAATTTACATTTCAAAGCATTTAAATAGAGTAAATCATGGATGAATTCCACATAAATAACATGCGCACATTATGCCAAGGTCGTATGGTCCGGTCCAACATAATATTAAACTGTGCACTGCTAGAGGGTCGAATGGAGCGAACCATAGATGCGTCTATTTTTACCGAGGCGATCGGTCCGATCCACAAATAGCAATTATTATCAAGTAAGCACACATTGCTCATTTATAATCAAATAAATTCATATCAGTTCTCAAGTAAGTGCGTACCTTCGTTTATATTTATTTATAAATTCATAGCATGTTCTAAGTGATCTCAGTAGCAAGCAAAAACGTAAGCATTTGCATGTATAGCATGATACGGGTCCTAAACTACCCGGACAATTAGCATAAAAGTAGCTACGCACGGACTCTCATCACCACATACGTACGTAGCCCCTACAAATAGTCACATATATTTATTTAATTCATCTAGGGGTTATTTCTCTTTTACGAGGTTAGAAAGGAGACTCACCTTGGTGCAAAGCTTACTTCCAAATTCAAGAATGTGCACAAAGCCCTCAATTCGGAGCCGAACGATCCAAAACTAATCAAACGGGGTAAGAACTAGTCAATACAAGCTCAAGAGTTGATATTCTAACTATTAAAATGATTTCTCAACCCTAAATGCAAGGTTCCTAAAATTTATTCCAGGGCCCACATACCCGGATTCTGGAAATTTTTGAAGAAAATTGTTACCATAACCTAAGGATCAAGAATATATGATTTTTACTCTATTCCATAACAAATTTCGTGGTTAGATCTTGTTTTTATCAAAACCCTAGGTTTTAACCTAAACCCTTGATTTTCCCTAATTTTTACATGTTAATCTATCGATAATCTATGTATTTAACTCATGCTATGTAGAAATTACTTACCTCAAAGTGCTAGGTGAAAACTCTCTTCCAAAAGCTCCAAAAATCGCCTAAGATGAAGTAAAATGAAATAATGGCCTAAATCCCGTATTAAAAGAGATGGACACAGCCCTTTGATGTCGCATTTGCGACACCATGTTCGCAAATGCGACAAAAGCCTAACAAATGTGAAGCCTGGGCTTCAGCTGTTGCGATCGCAAATGCGACCATAGAGTCGCAAATGTGAACACTGCCTGGGTCGGGATTCATCGCAATTGCGAAGCCATAATCACAAATGCGTGGTTTGCATTTGCAAACAATCTCTCGCATTTGCGAGACCTGCAACTGGTGCCAAGAACACCAGAAAATCTGGTGTGCTTTCAACTCCTCCCACACGTCCGAAACTCACTCGAGCCTCGGGGCTCCACACCGAATACTCACACAAGTCTAATAACATCATACAAACATGCTCGCGCGATCGGAACACCGGAATAACATCAAAAACCACGAATTGGACGCCAAAACGCATGAATTTACTCATGAACTCTAAGAACTTCTAAAACACTTTCGTGCGTCCGATTCTTATCAAATCAACTCGGAATGACGCTAAACTTTGTGTGCAAGTCTAAAATGATATTACGGACCTACTACAACTTTTGGAACTGAAATCCGAACTCGATACCAAATAGTCCACCCTCGGTCAAACTTTCCAAAAACTTCAAGTTCTAACTTTTCGCCAAATGACTCCGAAACGACCTATGGACCTCTGAATCGACTTTCGGACGCGCTCCTAAGTCCAGAATCATCATACGGAGCTATTTCCAGGCTCAAAATCCCAAACGGATGCCTAGAATGTAAAAATCAACTTCAATCCAAACTTATGGAATTTGCTCAAATTGCCAACTTTCATTATTAGGCGTCAAAATGCCCCCGGGTCTTCCAAAACCCAATCCAAACATACGCCCAAGTCCAAAATCATCATACGAACCTATTGGAATTGTCAAATCTTGATTCTGAGGTCGTTTACTCAAAATGTTGACCGAAGTCAAACTTGGCCTTTTAAGACAACCTTAAGGAATCAAGTGTTCCCATTTCAACCCAAACTCTTCCAAATCCCTAACCAACCATCCTCACAAGTCATAAATCAGTAAAAGCAAGTACGAAAAGTCTTATTTAGGGGAGCAGGGTTCTAGAAAGCAAAATAACCAGTCGGGTCGTTACACGTGTATTGCACATATATCTCATACTAATTAGTAAAAATATTTTAAAATAATACAAATAATATAAAAATATGTGTGTGATAAGGAAACACAAGCTCCGACATAATTAGTGGTTAAATGTAAGAGGAGTAGATATCATTTAAACAACTAATATTAGTTACGTAAATACGATTGTCATACCAAATATTCAACTTGGTAATTTTTGTTTTTTTATAATTTGACAATACGTAATTTACATTTGAATATGAGCAATGTTGTGTATGCTTGCAGATACTTCACGTCTAAAAGTTTTTGTCTTGTCTTTAAGAAATTGTAGCCTTTTCATTTTATAGTTGCATACATATCAAACAGTTGTTGACAAATGAAAATTGTAATTTATAAAAGTTATATAGAAATTCGATCACCATAAATTTTCCTTAGGATGACTAGTATATCACAATCAATTTCATGGTGTAAAGCTGCAAAAAAAATATATAGTTATTTGTGATAGAAATACTTAGTAGTTACTAACATAATTTTTTTTAATGATATCAATGTTGCACGTACAAGGACTCTTTGTCTGATTCAACATTATGACTCCTTTCATCTGTAAATTTGACAAAAGAACTGAACTATATAATTTATATAATTGTATTAATATAATACGATAATCATGTGTAAAATCTAACATCCATCACACATCATGTAGCCTAATACTTTATCTACTATTAAACTCGCATAGTAACAAAAAAGGGTTAAAATAGACCAAATAATAAGTGGGATAATACATTTTCTAAATCGGGTAGCTTATTCACTAATCAAGATCAATCATTAACTATTTTGTAAATGAATTCTTCAAAAAGAAAAAGAAAAAAAATAATACTTCTAAGTTTTCAAGTGAAATATGCAACCGAAGAAAGGATCCAAAAGAGGAGAAAATTATTAAAAAAAAAAAAAATAGCGAAGAAAGAAAAGAAAGCTAAAACGTTAATTAGCTAATAGATTATAATAGATTATTCTGCTAATCTTCAAATGATTTGGTCATCTAGGCAAAGTATATATAATAATTTAGTAAAATCTTATTTGTTATGCGCTTTTATAGAGTTACAGAGTGAAATAAAGAATAGAAATAGACTTTACAAAAATTTAACTACACCGAAAGAAGAAACAAAGATAAAATGAAACCGTTTCAAAAGGAGTAATAATTAAGAATAGTATAAGTGGCCTCATAACTTTAAAAATATAATAAGTTTAAAATTAGAAATTTTAAAAATTGAACCAATAGAATTTAAATCATATGATTGCCTCTGAATACAATGAATGAAATTAATTTTTATATTATTAGGCACAATCATGTAAGATAATCATATTTAATCTAATACTTTCTTATAAATGATTCTAAGTAAACTGCAAGCATATATATGATTTGAACGCCAAGTATCCAATACAATCATCTTACTCTTGGGATCACATATGCATATAAAACCAACATCGCTTCGTCCCAAGAGTGGGAAAAGAAGTTAAGTATAAAAATGTGCATAAACAATAATGTTTTGTTTAATACTCATAGGAAATAACAAAAGAAAAAAATAAACTGGTCTATCAAATCTGCAATATTAATGTTTTCCTCTATTGTTTCTTCTAACAGTGATGATCTTATGTATATATTATTTATTTATAAATTCATTTTGGTAAGCTAATTATTGATCACATTCAAGCTAGGTGGGTAGGATCGAAAGCTAGGAATGCAGACGGGTATAAATTGTGGTACTCCGGAAGCGTGAAGGGCAAGAACGGAGTGGGTATTTGGTGGATAGGGAGCTCAAGGAGTCAGTGGTAGAGGTTAGGCGGGTGAATGAAAGATTGATAGCGATTAAATTAGTAGTTGGAGGGAGCTCTTTGAATGTCATTAGCGCTTACGCGCCGCAAGCGAGCTTGGACGATGAGGTTAAAAGACGCTTCTGGGATGCGCTGGATGATGTGGTGCGGGGTATTCCATCTACTGAGAAGTTATTCATAGGAGAATATTCCAATGGTCATATAGGGTCGTCTGCTGGTGGCTATGGCGAGGTGCACGGTGGCTTCGGCTTTGGGGATAGGAACGGAGGTGGTACTTTACTGTTGGATTTCGCTAGAGCTTTTGAGTTGGTGATCGTGAACTTTATTTTACTGAAGAGGGAGGAGCATTTGGTTACTTTCTTGGGTATGGTGGTTAAGACTCAGATTCTCTATCTCCTCCTCATGAGGTGTGATAGGGGGATGTGAGAGGATTGTAAGCTGATTCCGAGTGAGAACCTCGCGATACAACATAGGCTCCTGGTGATGGACGTCGGTATCTTGATAAAGAGGAAGAAGAGGTTTGTACAGGATCAACTTAGGATCAGTGGGGAGTTTTGACTAAGGATAATGCACGGGAGTTGGAAGGGCGGCTAACGGCTATGGGAGCCTGGAAGAGTGGTGGGGACACTAGCATTGTATGGACGATGACAGCGGACTGTATAAAGGAAGCGGCGAAAGAGGTGTTAGGGGCCTGAAGGGTTACTCTGGCAGGCACCGAGGCGAATCATGGTGGAATAACATAGTCCAAGGTAAAGTAGAATCAAACAAAGTGACTTACCTTAGCAGAGAAGAGCAAACAAAGAAAGATATAAGGAAGCTAGGAAGGAGGCAAAAATAGCGGTCGCGGAGGCTAAGACTGCTGCGATCGGTCAGTTGTATGAGGAACTAGGGTGCAAAAGTGGGGACAAGAAGTTATTTCGGCTTGCCAAAGTGAGGGAGCGGAAGGTTCGTGACCTGGATCAATTAATTGAGGTGCATCAAAGACGAGGAAGGTCGAGTATTGGTAGAAGAGGACCAGATTAAGCAAAGATGGCAGTCGTACTTTCATAAACTTCTGAATGAAGAGGGGACAAAAACATCGTGCTAGGGGAATTGGGGAACTCCGAGAGTCACTGAAAATTCAGGTACTGTAGGCATGTTACAATTGAGGAGGTTGTGGGAGCGATGCTATGATGTGTCGGGGCAAAACAATCATACCAGACGAAATTCCAGTAGAATTTTGGAGGTATATGGGTAGTGCAGGCTTGGAGTGGCTGACTAGTCTGTTTAATATTATTTTCAGGACGAAGAGGATGCCAGATGAGTGACGGTGGAGTACGATGGTTCCGTTGTCCAAGAACAAAGATGATATTCAGAATTGTAACAACTACAGGGTATCAAGTTACTAAGTCATACCATGAAAGTTTGGGAGAAAGTGGTGTAAGGAGGGCGGTGTCTATATCAGAAAATCGCTTCGGGTTTATACTGGGTCATTCTACTACGGAAGCTATCCACCTTATCAGGAGGGTGGTGGAACAGTACAAGAATAGGAAGATGGATTTCCATATGGTGTTTATTGACCTAGAGAAGGCATATGACAATTCCCTAGGGACGTCCTTTGGAGATGCCTGGAGATGAAAGGTGTGTCGGTAGCTTATATTAGGGCGATAAAAGATATGTACAATGGAGCTATGACTCGGGTTAGGACTGTGGACGGTGACTTAGAGCTTTTTTCGGTGGTTATAGGTGTGAGCACGTGATTTTTGCCCTATGTGAGAATTACTCCCAAAAATTCAAAATAAAACAATTTTCCTTTGTGTGCAATTTTGAGAATTTTCGTGGCATTTTTGGATAATTATTTGTATTTGTCCGTGCATGTTTATTTGTTAAATTAATAAAAAATACAAAAATATGTCGCATTTGCATTTAGGATTTGATTCTACAATTAGGAGCAATTAGGTTGGTTTAACAAGAACAAAAAATCATAAAAATAATGTACGTTGCATCTTTAGCATTTAATGTCCAAATTGTGTGATTTTATCGTAATTGCTATTTAATTGT